CCCGTCTCGTCTTTTATTTTTTTTCGACTCTATTTTCGACGCTCGGTTTTGACGCTCCAAGCTCGAATTTCCGACGTCTAAATATTAATTACTCGGGCGACTCATTAATTCCTTCCAAATTAATTCGTCCTATCGGTTCGTTAGTTGCTTGGGTGTGACCCGAAGTGTTCAGTCAAGATTAAGCTGTAATATTAATTATACATTAATATTACTGATCGGAAGCGGCCTCCACCCAGGCATTTCAATTACTTGACCTCACTGAATAATTAACTTTCTAATAATTCCGAACACTCTATCGAGATAATACACTTGTTCGAAGAACATCATTCCCTTCAAGTGGCTACAAGCAGTCACCTTCAAAAATGTTCCCTAGGATGTGGAGGATTGTCTTTAACAATCAAGGATAGCTATAAGCAGCGGTCTTCGTCGATGGTGTTCACGAGGCACTATGGAGGTTGTCACAACAAAATGCACCAACAAAATTGGTTACCTAGAGGTGTGTACTCGACGGTGCAAGATACTCGCTTCTTAACTCTTTTATCTTTTTAAGTAATGCTAGTTTGCAGGTATCAGCGTTACAAGAATGATTTAGGATTGCAGAGCCTTCTGAATCATTCTCCGTCCCTATCGCTACTTTGACTTTTGTTTTCGAAACATGCGTTTCTCAAAACTCCTCAAAGTGGGGGCTTCTGTTGAAACCCAAATGTGTCTCCCCAAAAACCAGACCCAGTTATGAATACTTTTCACGTCAATGATTATCGAACAAGGTAAAAGTGTGAAAGGTCTTGTGATGCGGTTGTTTTAATAAAATCTTTCTTTCTATTTTTGAAAATCTACTCTATTTATTAAAATAGCCAGTCCAATTTATCTTGTTCCATGACAAGGGTCTAATGATAGTGTAGATGGATCGAGCTCGCAAAGAGCTTTCCAATGATATATTATAAAACCACTCCCAATGAATAATAAGGAAGTTATGGCCAAAATACTAAAATGGGCCTGAAATAGTTTTATGGCCTAATGATCTAGTGGACGACCCATTAATTAATATTCCTAAAATTATTAGGATTGTTTCTAATCGTCTAGAATAATCTAGAATGTTATTTTAAATTCTAATGGAGTTAGGATTGATAATTATCTTTTGAAAAATAAAGAATTTGATTTGAAATAAAACAAGTGTTTTAGTATGATAAATCTGTATTAAAATTGATAAACATGGAGTTTAATTACTTAATTATAAATGGAAAAGGATTCCGTACAAAAGCGCGTTTTTATCTTTTAATCAGCGCCAAACAACAGCCTTTTCGCCAAACAACATAGCCTGTCTCCATGCGTGATCCCTGTCGTTTCGCGCTAGGTCTTGTCGTTTGCGACAAGAGCCAATTTTATTCCGATTTGAATTCTAATTCTTTTCTATCGTTTTCAAACTATTTTCTCTATAAATAGGGTCGTATTTCCCCTTTTATTTATCAACAATCATCATTAAATATCTCAAGCGAATAGCTTATTCTTCTCTCTCTTTCTAAACCTCCCCTCATACAAAATACTGCATTCACAAGTTCTAGACACACCTAGCTAAGTTCAAAGTTTTCTTCGCCCTCGATGTGAAAGGTTGATAATTTCTGAGGGTTTGGTCCCAAATCTCTATTTCAATTATTTAAATATTGTTTATTTAATATTTTCCTTGAATTTACTAACGTGTGTATTGTTTTGATAGAAAGAGATACGATGCATCAAAGTAAATAATTAGATTATTTACTATTCTTTTGATATAGAAATCATGTTTATAATTTTATATTAATTCCTAGAATCATGTTTAGGGTGTTTACTAATATTTATAATATCATTTATGTTCCTAGTATCATGTTTAGGGTGCTTCCTATTTCTTCTATCATGTTTCTAGTATCAAGTTAGGGCTAAATCTTTGATTTTTATTAATTAGTGACATGCTAGGATTTTTTATTAATCTTGTTAGTATCATGCCTAGGATCTTGCTAATATTATTATGCTTTATTGAGATTATTGATGATGATGATTTGTTGTTATTATCTTGCTTGATATATTTATTGTTATTGCTTGATCACGCCCTCTCTTGCAGGTTTAAAGGGAATTTGTACTTGTAATCACGCTTAATAAGATAATTAATAATCTTATTTAGGTTAATATGATTATAATTCAAGTGATCACCAATAATAGATTTGTTTGTGCATTAATGTTCAACCAACATAGATAAACAAGTTTAGGGTTAACCTAATGATTGTATGTTAGTCAGAAAGCGCACTTGAATATGAGAAGAATAAAGTGGAGGTCTATTTTTAGGGCAGGTTCAATCTCTTTTAGGTTGGATTTGTACCTTCATCCCCGAATATCCAGTCATATTCCAGACCATTATGGAGTTAGCAATCTCATGGATCGTGAAGGGGTGTAACCTTCACCCTGTGAACGGTTTACAAGTTCCTAAAACTTGTTGGCGACTCTTTTGCTCTAGCTTCCTTCCCTTTGGACGCCATCATACTTAAGATCACATTAAGGCTCAAGTGTGGGATGCTTGAAATATTCCCTACACGCCCAGATCTCTTTTCTCTTTTTGCTCTCTTTAGATTTATGAGCCGGCTGAGAAGTCCGACTCTCTTTCTGCTTATCAGACATTTTAAGGTCCGATTTCTTGTTGGAGGAGCAAAGCTTGGTCGCCTGTATATAGGCTTCCGCCTCCGTTAAAGCTCATTAGAGGGTAAAAACTTTCTTTCGGACGAGGTCAAACTTAAAGGTTGACCTATCCTTCAGACCCTTGACGAAGTCTGTATAGGCTACCATGTCAGACAACCCTTGAATCTGGATTTCACCAGATTGAACCGCCTAACGTAGGAGCGCATTTCTTCTCTATCTCCTTGCTGCACATTACTCTAATGAAGACTTGTTTTCTTTGCAGGGAAATTCATAGAAAAGTTTGAAGCAAACAAAAACGCAAGCATCTTGAAGTTGTTTATACATTCAGCCGGCAAATTGCCAAACCACTGTTGGGCTATGCCTTTCAGTGTAGCTGGGAAGCATCGACACCAAGCGACATCATCCAACCCCTGTAGATACATGAGGTGGGTGTATGCCAGAAGATGATCTTCTAAGTTGCTGGTACCATCATAGGTGCCCACCAACACGTTTTTAACCTTGGACGACTGTTCGGCCTCAGTTATCTCCCTGGAGAACGCAAAGGGTTGTTCACCAAGGCTTTGCAGCCGGAGATGCTAGGCCATAGGCTGGAAATTGTAAGCCGCCTGTCCTCTAAAGAAGGTTGGCTGGATGTAAGGCAGTGCAAGCAGCCTGTATAACGGCTAGGCTGCAGAATGAGCCGGATTAATTACATTGAGACCCATGTGGACAGAAGGACCGGCTGACGAAGTTCCATGTACAGATTTAGAATTCCTCCCTGAGGTATTCTTAAAGCTAACTGGGTAAGTCAACTCGGACAGCTGCTGATTCTTCTTTTGCTCTATGTAAAGCCGAGCATCAAAAAAGGTCTTTTTACTGTCTTCCAGTTGAACATGCCGGATGGCTTTTCTTTTTGTCGTTTTGGGGAAACAGAATTTAGAAAGGTCAATCAAAGGCCGAGCCTTCTCCTTGGTTGCAGGGTGGGGAGTAGGTTGTCGGTCTTTAACTGACTTAGCTCTCTTTTATTGAGCTGGTTGTTTGGCCAACTGCTTTTCTAGGAGCAGTCGTCTTTTTGGTGATCAAGTCCTTTATTTCACCCTTGAAGCTCGTCATGAATTTCATGAGCTCATCTTAGGTGACTAGGGCAGATCTTGTCGCCTGTGTCTGATCAGACGGCTGTCCAGGGGGCTTGCATGTACCCGTTTCGTCATTGTTCTATTCCAGTTTATCCGTGGGACGGATGCGTTTAGAGATGAGTGACCCATCATTGGCCAAATAGGTTTCGACTTCACAGTCGTTATTAGTGACATGGTCTGTATAGACCTCTCCATCAACTGCAGGCCGGTTGGTTTTTGGAGGTGGTATAGGTTCTTGTGATTCCATCTTTGAGGTACTCTCCCCATAGACGACGCCATGTGTTTTGGGGTTTTTTATGTCCCTTGGGAGAGTTACAGCTCACATACTGGATCCAAGCCGCCTATACCTGCAAAACAACGAAACTCCGGATGTTCAGAGGTTCGCCTCCGACGGTTAAGTTAGTATGGGATCGGAGTAAAAACTAGCATAAAGTAAATATCTTCTCGGATTCCGAGATCAGGTGTTTTCTCTGTTTCGAGAATAATAAATGATATAATGATTGTAAGGTGTCCCAATAATAGGGGGAATCTCCCTATTTATAGGGTCCTAGAAATGTGTGCCTTGTCCTAGGGTTTGATGACCTAGGATCCTAGGCTGCGCCGTTTTTCGGCTACCTCGGGAATTGGGCCTTAAAGGCTGCCAATTCCTAAGGGCTAATCTGCTTGACACGTGTCAGCCCTTGGGAGGTCCACTTGGAGGCCTTTTCAGGTGACACGTATCGCGCTCTCATTGGGCAATGTAGCGGGGTAGAAATACCTAAATCAAGCATTGTTCCCACATTTTAAGGGTTCATTTCAACGGAAGAATTTGAATTCCTAGTTATCGTTCTGTTTCTTGCTTTGCGTCTTTCAAGCTCCACAAGTTTCAAGGAGATTATATCAAGTTTAATTATCCAAGCTTCACCGATGATAGAAAAAGGCCATTGGGAAGAGCATGTATTGTAGGCTTCACTTCCCTATAATCAAGGTGGTACTACCTACAAAGTGGCTCCAACTTTCATGGGCCGATGAAAACAAGTTTATTTAAGTTGGTTTTACATGTTAAAAGAGCTAGTGTTGCTCATAGATTTGTTCTTATAATAGTCAGCCTAATAGTTCGTATTGTATTAGCTTAAACTATTTCAATTTATGCAAATTAAACCTTCGTTAAAGAATACACCAAAAAAAAAAAAAAAAAAAAAAAAAAAAAAAAAAAAAATCTACAAAAAAAAACAACAAAAAAAAACGGAATACGAAGTAGTAATTAAACGAAGCCAATTTGGCAAATTTTTTAAGAATACCAATTGTTCAACCAATTTACAAGAGTATTTCTCAAGGAAAAAAAAATAAACTTTACAGAAGTAAACACATCCCTCTCTTCCCTATACTTTTTCCCCAAACAAGAAATTAAGATACAAGTGAATATGACATCCCACAATTGATGACTAATAGATGCTTACGAACAATTGCACAAGGCACTGATATTGCTGTTATATGCAATCTATGACCATTTCTATATAATCCTGCACATGAAGATCCATTAATAAATATCTGCAACTGTATTGCCCTAAATCGCAATAGCCAGTCGCGGCAGAGATGTATAAGATAAAAAGAACATTGTTCAACTCATTCAAAGAACAGGAAAAACTTTCTCCAAGAACTCAATAAAACGTCTTGCATACAACTTCGGTTCAACAACAGAGATTGACACTGGGTCTATTAACAAAGATTTGCTTGCATGCTCAATTTTCTTTCTCAAGTTGTAGTCCTGCAATATATCTATCATGCCAAGATACAGAACAACATCATAGACTTCAAATAGTTCGACTTCCATTGAATCTACCTCATTTTCTTCAACCTTACGATTTGCTAGAGCCGGCATGTTTACACCCAATTGTACCCTTAGCCTGCAAAACAAAGTGAAATCACTAAAATAGTACGAGTATATCAATAAATTTTCAGTTATATTGGGATATAACAGTAGGAAAAAAAAAAAAAAAAAATTTGCTGTGACTCAATGGCAAGGGATTTAAAGGGGTACGAGAGTGAAAGGTAACAAAAGAAAGGAAGTTCCAAAAATGTGGAAGGTGACCGGATGACGAAGACCCATGACTTTTGAATTTAGTTACTTCATACAGAGGGATTCACATTTTCTGGATTCTTGGTAATCCCCACCCATTATATGGAGAAACAAACAACAAAGATCCACAACACATAAATTAGCCTTGCAGTTAGTCTCTTCCATTGGCTCATAATATCAGTAAAGCAAAAGATGTTAAGTTGCCAAAATCCAAGTCACCTGATAGACAACTTACAATCAAATCCTATTTATAGAACATTTTCCCTTCAAATACAGTAATCATAATTAATGTCACATTCAAGGTTTCTAGCTCTCAGATCTAGTTTTCTTCCCGACTAGGAACATTGATTTTAAATATTTAAAGTGGATTCAACAAACTCAACTCTAATTCCCAAAAGCTATGAGGATGAAACATACCACTGAAAAGGCGAATGAGCTGTTGTAAAGAATGGTATACCAATTACCAGGACAGTGGAACACATTACATTGTAGTGAAATCTTGCATGATACGCTGAGCTTTGGCCACACTAATTTGGTAATCAGGACAACTGGACTTGGGATAAAACCCATTCTCTTTTTCTACACCATCTGAATTGGCCATTGGATGATAGGCACATGCTAGTAACTAATCTGCAAATACAGCATGTCCAATATCGCAGTATCTGAAACATAAGACGACCTAAGCTCAAGCCTAGATTAGAGAATTGATTATCATACAAGGATTTATTATGTTCAGAAACTGAACAAATCCCTTGACCTACATAAACTTTATCGTATAAAAGACCCTACATAAACTTGGTTTAGGCTTCATTCAACTTCAAAGAAAGAATCATTGGCATTCTCATTTGAATTGTTGTCTATCCTGATCTCATGACCCCATGATCTTCAACCCGCTGATATACATCTTCATCATCCATTTAATCCTTGGGGCATGCTTGAATTGATGGTAGTGCATTATCTGGGTAATAAAAGTCAACTAAAGTATATGATGGTGAGCAGGGATGGTTGTAAGGTGAGATGAGAAGGGAGAGGGGGATTAGTGGATTACTTCCCTCAACTTTGGGGTAATAGATATCCTAGGGTGGTGGTGGAGGCTATTACCCCCGTTATCACTACCTCAACTCTCAACTCCTTGTTCCTAGTGTTACCAAGGAGTTCACAATCAATAATAACCTCTTCCTCACGTACTATATTTACCATAGATATCCTAGGGTGGTATGTGTGATTTGAAGTCCCTCACCCACCATATTTACCATAGCATCAGGTGCATATAGTGATGAATGAACTAAAAGGAGTTCAAACCTAACCACGTTCTAAACACATAATTTGATGCCGCTCATATCCAATCACTATCAACTATCCTTCAGTGACTTGGATAAAATGATATCAGATGGATAGATTCAGGCACATTAAGTGAAGAAAATTCCTAAAATATGGAAAATTGCATTTTGTGACAGGGTAAAATATTTTGCATGTATTTTCCAAGAAGATAGGATCGCTCCTTCAGGATGGGATGTGGTACACATTTTTGCAAAAAAAAGAATAAAGAAAAAAACAGCCTTCAAAATTTTTCAGATCATGATGATTCATATTAAGCCAATTAGAAAAGATAACTGGAAAAACAAAGAGAAGATGCTGTCAAACTATAGTAATAGAACTTCAATGGTACAGTCTTTATACTAGTTGCAATAACAAGGCCAATTACCTACCTTCCAGTTCCAGGGAGGAGTAGATCAACTTCCTTATCACCGACAGAGTACGCCCTCAATGTACTTCCTCTTATATGAGGACCTGGAGCAGTGTTCACTGAACCCGGCTCATGTGTAACCAACATCAGACCTGTTGGAGGAACTGATAACCCTGCTATTGAGGTCATACCTGAGAAATTGAGCATAAGGAAACATTATGGCAAGAAAACATCTTTTGTAATTAAGAGCAACCTATGTAAACAAATTATACAAGGATAGGGAGAGAGAGCGGCGAGGGGGGGGGGTGTTGGAATTTAGTTAAACCGAACCTTGTTTACACTTCATCTGGATTTCTTTTAAATGCATCAATTTGACTTGTGCACTATTCATATACTAACTTTTGACTTAAATTATTTTACTAATATATAATAAATATATGTTCTCGTGTTTTCATAATAATAACAATAACAATAACAATAACAATAACAATAACAATAACAATAACAATAATAATAATAATAATATTTTAAAAGATTCAAAGTTGTCGTGATAAATGTGCCAGGTAATATTACTCCCTAAGCATTCAGTCGTAAATGAAATAGTCACACAATAGTGCATAAATAATTGAGTATTGATATTAAATAATCGAAAATGGATCAAAGATATATATTGAGATTTATAAAGATCTTAGCCATAGTTCATCAACCAATCATACAATATATTCTTATGATAATAAATGGCATGAGAATCATAATATATACATCAGTCAAAAATATAAGCATTAATTTCTTTAGGGAATTATGAAAGCATAATGATCATAGAAATTTATATACTCCAACCAAGAGGATTCAAAGAAAAAGGAAAAGAGAACTTGCTTGCAGACTGAATAAGTCTATGTACGGGTCTCAAGCAAGCAACAAGATGTTGGTATAACAGCTTTGACTCCTTCATCACAAGCGTTAAATACAATCGAGTGAACTCAGATCCTCGTAATTATTGCAAGATATTTGATGATGGTGATTTCAATGTTTTGCAATAGTATGTTGATATGTTGGTAGCAAGCCCCAACAGTGAACAAATTGAACAAATCGGAGAGGTAAATACTCAGTTGGGTAAAGAGTTTGATATGAAGGATTTAGGACCAGAAAACAAGATTCTAGGGATGCAAATACATCAAGACAAGAATAATAGGAAGATTTGGCTTTCTCAGAATAACTACTTGAACAAATCTTACAACGCTATAACATAGAAGATTGTAAGCCAATCTCTACTCCTTTGTCTATCAATTTCAAGATATCCTCAAGTATGAGTCCTAGTAGTGAAGCAGAGAGGATGGAGATGTCTCGAGTACCATATGCATGAATAGTTGCTAGTTTAATGTTTGTTATGATAACATTGCAAATACACAAGCTAATAAAGAGGCAACATGGCTGCAAATGCTACTGGTTAGGAGCTTGAACACAAAGAAGTGAAGAAAGCTTTGTTTTGTGATAGTCAAAATGATTTTCACTTGGCAAAGAATCCAGCATTTAATTCAAAGACAAAGCATAAAATATCATTTTGTTCAAGAACAGCTGGAAGAAGGAAGTGTGGATAATCAGAATATTCATACGAAAGATAACCTATAATGATAACTGCTTATGGTGTCAGACTTGCATATAAGTAAGCAGCAAAAAAAAAAAAAAAAAAAGAATTTATGTGAGAGAATGTTAAAATAAATAAAAGTAAAGCCATATTTAACAAAACATAAGAAGAACATTCTATATAAACTTATTTTAATGTTTTGTGATTTAATTAGTGAATGTTTTAAGAAAACAATTATATGGTAAAACATTGTGAATCATTGTTTAAATTAGAGGTAATAAAAATTACATTTCATAATTTTTAGCATACAGGATTGCATAGTGTCAGTTTTGTTATCAATTCAGTCATTCCATATTTTTAGAGAATTATATTTCCTCAACTATTATAAGTATATACTTTATTAGTTCCAATTTCAACTTTAGTCGTCAAGCACCTTGAAGGAGCACCCAATGTCTTTTATGTTAACAGAACAATAACTTTATAATTCTATGAAGGTAGAAAACAAGAAAAGTCGTGGTTTATAAACACCAATGGACTAATTAACTATAGTGAAGAAGTAGATCACCATTGGGTTACGGATAAGCACCAGTTGGAGACAAGTGTGTGCTCACAAGTCATATCTAGGGGTGCTAATCAGAGTCAATCACGAGCTCGTTAACTTTCGAGTCGAGTCAAGTAGCTCATGATCTACTAGTTAAGGTTTTGGTCCTTTTAAAGTTATAGGCCTTTATTTTATTTTTATTTTTGTTCACTTTATACAATAGTTTTCTTATCTTATTTATTTATTATTAAATATTTACTCTTTATTTTTTGATAATATAACTTAACTCTTATTTAAATGTAAAATTATCTTAAACATGGTAACTTCATTTGTAAATTATGTACTAATAAAATATAGTATTGAGCTGCTCATGAGCTTATCAAGTTGAGTTAGAGCTTGCTCAACTCGTGCTCGTTTATAGGGCTGTACAGAGTGCGGTCTACCAAACCACAAACCAAACCGCACTTTTGCGGTTTGGTGTGCTTTGCAGTTTGAAAATTGCGGTGTGGTTTTAGAAAATGACCAAACCGCGGTTTGCGGTTTGGTGCGGTTTCCAAATATATTTAAACCAAACCGCACCGTAAACCGCATTAAACCGCACTTTAATGCGGTTTGCGGTTTTTATACTATATTATTATTAAAAATATATAAAAGAATTAAAATATATGAGCTAATCTTTGACTATTAGTTTATTAAAGGTTAAAAAAAAAAGAGTTTAATATTTAAACTATAAACTAATAATTATAAAATAAAATAAAAGTTATATTTTAAAAAGAAAAATTATAATTTTAATAAAGTATGGTTAAACCGCACCGCACCAAACCGCATTTTGCGGCGCGCTTTGGTGCGGTTTGAAAAAATTACAAACCGCACTTTTGCGGTTTGGTGCGGTTTAGGATTCAAACCGCACCAAACCGCACCGCGAACACCCCTACTCGTTTACATCTTGAGTTGAGCCAACTTGAGCCGAGTTTTGATGGTAGATATAAAGTAACGATTTTTTTTACCAAATATGAAAGACAAATAGCTTAACAAATTATTATAATATTCCATGCAAAAAGAACCTACAAGGAAGCCAAAGACATGTACAATTAAAATAATGTAGCATACCATCAGCAGCAGGTTTATTCTCAGCATCATATAAAGGTTCATGTAATTCCAAGAAAGACTTTAGATGCTCAGGTGCTCGGAAATGCAACCCCAACAGAAGACTATAGTCAATTATGTTTTGAGATTCTAGAAACCTGCAATCTAACTCGATTTGTCTGCAAAAAGGAAAGGATAAATTTGTTCAAGGGTGTGGTTTCAAGTTCAACTGGTAGATAACATTTCCGTACAGTCAAACATAAAGATAAAATTTTATCAACTTAAATAAATAAGTATTCTGCACCATACTCAAACAATGGACTGACATACCAGAATATTCATTCTCATCAATCCATTCACAAATATCTAACATGGAGTATATCGATAATCAGTGTCGTAGTAAACACGAATTTAGAGAAACAATTCAATATACTTCCTCCGTTCCCCTAATATTGCAACAATTATCATTTTAGCAAGTTTCACAAATATTCCAACATTTCCTTCTTTCCACATGGCTTCTCTCTATCTTTCTCCTCATCACACAGGTCACTTTTTTTTTTATGTCCCTATATCTCTCTTCTCATCTTAAAATCTGTGCAATATCCCCATGTTGCAATATTAGCGTATTAGAGGAATGGAATATAAGATAAAATATACTTTCATTGAGGATAAACTAAAGGTGATACAAAGAGGAGGGCACGATACCAACAATGTATATCAAGATAAGAAACAAATCACATGTAATGTAAGCAAAAACGAAGATTGGAAAACTCCATTAGCATGAGCCAAATGGCCAGCTTGGATGAATCTACAATTTTAATCAGATAATCACAAAATTGATTATGCTTATATTCTTCCCAAAACTCAATATAAAAACCTGCGTATAATATAAACCAGCTTGTGACTAATCCACCTAATTTAAACAGTTTCAAACAGTCTACGAGAGATTAGCTACAAGCCACAACTTAAGAACAAGCAAATATGTAGTTCAAACCAGTACATTATTCCCCCCATGGCTGAGAAAACTGCCAAGTTATATTTCACCATAGAAGCAAATATCTGATCTAGCTTCGTTGAATCGTTGGTAGTCCCTATCTCTAAGATTGTTCATAGTATACAACAAGGCTTCAAGTTCATCTCAATGTAGAGCCATTAATCCATAAATTTAATGTGTCTGAAGTGGTCCACAATTACACACTATAGAACAATTATCTAACAATCTTAAAACATGCTCCCTCCGTTTCCGAATTATGCACCTATACTCTGTTTTTGAGGTGTTTTTATTTGATATACCCATTTCTACTAATCTACGATATATTATTTTGGGTAAGTAAATATTAATATTATACCCCCTAATACTTACATAGTCACACCTTTCAAACCTACCCCCTTTCTCTTTTTCTTACAATTGCCCATCTTTTTACCTTCTATTTTTTACTTTATTTACTATTTCTTACACCCACTCAATTTTCCTTGAAAAAAGAGTCAACACTAAATGTGTACATCAAAAAAATGAGTATATGTACTGACTATTGATGAAAACTGACAAAACACCCAACCAAAACAAAAGACACAAGAAATGACTTTATAACCCAAACACAGTTTGGCATTTCCAATTTTTTATGGAAATAAACTTATTGGGTTAATACAATTGCCACAGAACTAGGATAGGCACAAAGGGGCAGCCTATTTGATTTAGTAATCAGTTCAGAAATATTTACCATGTGCGCTAGTTTACAGCCATGATTACCTTGGTTTTCATATGTCTGGTTGGAAAACATAGGCTAAATAATATGAATTTACAATAAGTTATTTGAAATAATCTAGTAGTAAACATTTTATCAAATGGGAAACTATTTTTGCTTTACTAGGATAAAACTAACTAGAAAGGAGGAACACAGTCGTATCCTAATTCCCTTTATACTTTCACATGTTGCTTTAAATTCTAAGTCCATTCCAAATCTTTCTTATCAATGACATAACACTTCTCAATAAAATTATTCACCTCACTTGTTTTCAACAGCTACAATGAAGGGTCCATTTCTTAAAGTATACCAGGTGCATCCGAAGAGTTTATAGCTTCCAAGAAATTGTTACTCAGAAAGCAATGTTTGTGTGTGTGCGTGGTATATGGGAAACAGGTAATCCTAATTACAATTACAGTCAATATCCACCTAAAAACTATATCAAAACCATTAGAGAGGCAGTGTTAAAATATCAATGTAAAAATATGCTCTGATTGATTAATAAAGAATCATTTTCCACTCCCCTACCCAACTCCGCAAACAACAATTCAAAATTTTGATCACCGAAAAGATGATAGGACCTCAACACCTTCTATCTCCCGACATTACCACCACTGGCCATCACCATATTACTCTCTAAGCTTAGAGAAAGGAAGTTTTAGTGGAATACGGAGGATGGTTTTGGGTAACTAGGCTTAGAAAAAGAGAGCTTTGGTGAATCAAGGAGAGATGATTTTAGCTGACACGATAGGAGTGGATTGGGTGGGAGGCGGTCTTTGAGGCAAAACACATATAGTTATGTGAATTCTAGCGAGGGAGAGATAGAGTGAGGTGAGGCAAGATAGAGCAATGTTAGCAATGGGGAATGTTTGATTGATGATGGTGGTGAACAAGCCGCAGTTGTATAAATTCAGGATTTAAGCGTTTTGGGTAACATATAAAGAAGAAAAGAAAAATAATAGAAATTTGGACTAAACACTGATAGTGAGATAGAAACATCCCCTTCCATTTGATATAGACCTGAAACCAAACTACGTCAAATAAACTAAAATTTAAACTGCCGCATACTAAATAAAAAATTTCACATGCAATATAAAGGCTCACTTGCGCACAATAACAAGACAAACTCAGGCAAACATAGCGAAAACCGCAATGAGTCTAATGCTTGTACATATACATCACTTTCCTCTAAAACAAATGGCTTGCTTTGTCAACCGTTAAGGATCAATAGGAGTTGTATAAAAGCCAATAAACAGAGTGGAATTCTATAGTAACTTAAATGAATTTTAGATGAATATTATCTACAGTAAAATTTAGATGAATATTTTTGTGCTGGTGGATATGTTTTAGAGGTGCTTCTCTCTTCCTCGGAGTTTTAATAGGTGTTTAGTAGGCCTGGCTATCACCGTGTCCAACATGAGACATGGAACAAGGCCTCCAAGACATTGGGGCCTCCAAATTAATACTTTATAGATAATGAGTGTTGGTGGTGGATTCAGAATTTTCAGTTAGGGTAACACCAACCATTGACTAACTAATGAAACAAATATTACAGAGTGATAGACAATCTCTCCCTCCAAAAAGTTTTAGAATTGAAGAGTAATTTTCTCTCAACAATTATCACAAAACCCACTCTTAATAAACACTTGATATTACTTGCTACGACGGTACTGTAAAATTAATGTTTTTTAACAGTATTTATATAAGAAATTTTATTGTCAAAAAAGAAAATGGATTAATCCTTCGAAATATAATTACACTAGTTGGTAAAAGCTCCTAGTCATATAATGGAAATATAGTTTTTGATTATTGATAAAATAAAAGCTGTAAAATAAGGGAGCAGTATGTCTTGAATTTATGACTTCCAAATAAAAAAGGATGAGTTAAACGGAATTCCAAATAACCACTAAACCAACTTCCATTAATCATATAAGTTAAATATAAAAAATTATTTATAGTGTAACTAATTAGAAAACACAAAAATTAAATATTATTAATTAAAAAGAAAAAAAAAGAAAAAAAATAGGGGTAGCATTTGCTACCCTTTGTACCTTCATAGCTCTGCCAGTGATGAGTATTGTAGTTATATGACATGTTTTAGCTGTGGCCTAGTGGTTTACAAAAGTAAATGTAGTGTTTAGGCTTTTTATAGCCAAGGGTTCGATTCTAGGATTCTTTGTGTTTTTTGTTTCCTTCTAAAGATACCAGTATTATATTTCTTATTAAGATTTTTTTTATTCAAGATTAACATTTTATGTAAAATTCAGTTATTTACTATTTATATTTTTATAAGTGAAAAATAAATTTAGGGCCTAGTAATCAATTATTAACGTTCTTTGTACTCACAAACTAAATGTAATTACGTTCCTAAAAACACATTACATAAAATAAAGGAAATTTTGTCAAAAACCACCCGCTAAAAACACTTTTTTGTGAAAAACCACCCACAGTAAAAAAATGTTGTAAAACACCACCCAAACTAAAAAAAATTGTTGCAAAAAGCCACCAACTGCTAGAAACAGGTCGTTGACCGTCTTCCCCCGACGTTGACTACACTCCCCACCCCTAGAATTCACCGGAACAGTCTAGCTGCCCCTCTCCCAACCCCTCGAAAACCCCTAACATTCACTCCCCCTTGAAAACCCCTAATATTCACTCCCTCTCCACCTCGAAAATTAGTCCGACCAAATTTTTCGATGGTGGTATGGGGTTATTCATTGTTTTTGAGTGAATTTTAAGGGTTTTCAAGGGGGGTGGGAGGGAGAAGGGCAGCCGGACGTTTTCGGGTGAATTCTAGGGGTTTTTAAGGGGATGGGGCGGGTGGTCAACACCAAGGGAGGACGGTCAACGCCGTCAAATATGGTCAACAACCTGAATCTGGCATTTGGTGGCTTTTTGCAACATTTTTTTTAGTTAGGGTGGTTTTTTACAACATTTTTTTTTATTGTGGGTGGTTTTTCACCAAAAAAAAAGTATTTTTAGTAGATAGTTTTTGACAAAATTTCCTAAAATAAAATGTAATTACATATAATTTTATTTCATTTATAGATCAAGGCCCACTTTTTCATTGTAGCACAGGGCCTCCATTGAGATTGAGACGAGCCTGCTGTTTAGGGTGGTTTTTATTGGTGGTATACATTTTTTAAGTGGGTGGGTGAGTTTTCTGGGAGGCTTGGTGCGGCTAAGCAGTGGGAATGTCAGCAGTGTGTGGCAGTCCAGGTGGGATGGATGGTGGGGTGATCAGGATTGACAGTGCAGGTAGTATTGGTAGTGGGGAAGCCGAGGTTGGTGGTAGTCAAAGTAGAAAGATTACTCCCTTAGATGAAACCCTTGGGGGAATTATTGTAGAGGAAAGTGGGGAAAACAATAGAGTAACTAGAATGAAAAAAAAAAGTCCAAACAGGGGGAATTAAGAGTGTTCATTTCAATTCCATAATGCCTCTTAAATGCCCCCTATATGTAATAGCACATAATTATAGCATAACTATTAGAGACAATTGAAAATACTAAAAATAGGCTTAAACCTTACATAAGATTCATTATCATCTACATGAAATTGCACAAGTATATATGTGCGTATTTAACGGTCAACCTGCCTATATGATGTGGTTCCAGTAACAAAGTGGAAGGGAAGCAAGGAAAGATCAGAAATCAAAATCTTACTTCCACCCCCCCCCCACCCCACCCCCCCGCGCGCGAGCGCGCGGTCCGTCCATAACCAAAAAAAAAATAGAAATTAAAAAGTGGTTCACCTCCCATAAAAAGTAGTAAGGAAGGGGGGAGCCCCATACATGTCAAAAAGTCCATGCCAAAGGAAAGCAGCCGTCTCCGATTGCAAAAATAATAAGATCTAATAACCAATTTGTACACGTTACTCAATTTTCCCTTGAAGAACGTTGGCAACTACCTCATTTGCTGTCAAGCTACCACAAGGAAGAAAGATGACAAAATTCTAACCACCAAATTATCTTAACATCGATTAAAGTATAAGCTGAATTATAAATTTAATCAAGCTAACCATAATAATCAATCCATAGTTTCCAAGATCAGTTTCATTTTTCAATCAATTATAATCAAATTGAATGATTTGCCATGTCAAAAAAAATATGGAAAAACAAGGAAAGATGCTACTAATGTTTTTCATTGTTAACTAGATACCAAAATAAAACTAAAAAATAAAAAATAAAAATAAACCCAATTAATATAGCAGAACAAACGTCCCAAATGGGATACATAATCTATTGATAAAAGTTGAAGCATGCTCTACAATGATAGAAGCTTACTCAAATAGGGCATCACGCAATGATCGATCCATGTAAAATTCATATTTCAGGTCAAGATCTTTCAAGGTAGAATTTTGGTTCATTGTCTCTTTATTTGTAGACCTTCCATAAGATGAACCCTTCAAGTCATAACGACGATGAATTCGTAACTCAGTGTAGAACATATTCCCCATGACCACGAACCGTACCTGTGAGTGAAATGAAAAAATACTGAAGCAATAGAAACCTCGTATAGTAAACATGACTCCTACGAGTAGTATGTTGTCTATTCGTTTTACGAAACCAACTAGCAATTAAGTTTCAAGTAAAAGTAAAGTCAGAAACAATTACATCCATCATGCTAAATAGACATTTCTCAACCAACAGTCCAATACCCTAGTATAGTATTCTATCTGGTTTGAGATGAGCCATTAAATGCTCCATATTGGATTAAATAAACACATGAGAAAAAACAATTGCATAAAATATAATAGAAAAATCTAGCACTTTGTGTAGAGAAACAAACAGATAGGAAGAATCAATTGACCTTATTTTGAGCTTTTCTATTATTACCAAACGATTACTCTCAAGAATAACATAACTCACTTTGAATTGAAATTCTAACAGTAACCCAATAATAATGGCCTTCTAGTCACAGTATCCATATGTTATCTTCTATTTTCTCCACCGCAAACCCGTTCAAAACATGCTAATCATCATTAGCTAGCCAAAAATTCAGATTGACAGAGTAGACCCCTGAATAAATCTGTCATTGGTCTGATAGGTGAGAATAAAGAAAGACACTTTAGTGAGAGCTAGAAAAAGTGAGGCTGCAGTTAATCTAGCAGCAACATGCAATGAATCAGCCCAATCCACCACACTTACAGACATATATACTAGAAGGAAGAAAGACATTAATATCATACCGTTAAGAAGTTCTTACAAATGATGTAAGGGGCATCTCAGAAAAAGAATAATTAGTTTGTTACTGTCAGGATGTAGTTAGGTAGAGGGGTTAAATAGAGAAGGGGCAGGTTATTGTGAATTCTAGAAAGAGAAAGTGTATTGGAAAAGAATTTATTTCTTGATAGTGAAAAATCTTTAACATTCCTTGTATTTCACTTTTCCCAGAAATATAATCAAAAGCCCCTGTTATAAGGTCTGTCCAGGAAGTGACGAGGATTGAGTGAGAAAATACACAGAGATTTCTAGCCGATCAGGTCAGCTTAATTTCTCTCCTTCCCTTTGCAGTTGCTAACTTACATTATTGTGAAATTGCAAATGTAGTGCAATTAATCTTACAAACTTAAAGCCATAATTAAGCAATTTGGAATGAAATACCTTCCTTCCGCATTTTAGTTTTATGCGATGAAGCCCAAAGAATTTTGTAATAAGAGTATTCTCATGCATTTGTACATGACTGTAATAGCTTGGAAGCATTCTGAGGAAAACCTAAAGATCAGATCAAAATATCAGGATCATTTTAAAGTTATAGGAACACTGAGGAAGAGTCAAATGAAATCTTTACCTTCAACTCAGATTTCCGCAAAGTTTTAATCACAAATCTATCATCATGCGACAGGTAAAACAAGCTGCCGCTTTTCCCTGGTGAAGAAATCTCTCTCAAACCATCATCACCACAGATGGACATCATGTAGTCTGCAGCATTTAACTTAAACATTTCTCTCAAGTTCCTGTAAACAGATGTAGAGTATGTCATTTTGAAAGTTTTGAAACTGCAAAAAAAAAAGGCAGAAAATTGAAACACAAGGCTAGAATAGCAATATCAGAAAGTAAATCCAAATAGAAACTAAGAAACCTAATTTTGTCAAAGTAAAGTCAATGTAAAACTTGTGAAACAAGCTTCAGCAGCAGCCTCATATAAGGCAAGAAGCTGGCCAGTCTTCAGACAAATATGATCTGTGCATGACCATCACTTGAGTTATTGCCACTAAGCCCTAATAGACTTAAATACATTTTTCTTTAACCAGTTTATGGGATAGTTAAGGAAAATGCCAAGGATGGTACCTTAATCTACACTCAATCAATCAATCAAAGTCTTAATTCCATAAGTGGGGCTTAATCTACAGTAAGTATATAAAAAATACAAACATCTCCGCTACATGTTGTCCTCTCCTTTTAAATTAATCCTTTTCACTTCTTGCCCCTTTAGCTCTCTCCTCCCAATCTTTCAACAGCTCTTCACTTAATGTAACTTTCACTTTAATTCAACAAATTTAATTCTCTTAATCATAATCCTTCTTCTGCACCCTCCATCTTTCAATTTCAATTTCCATTTCAATTTAATTGAATTAGACATTTATTCATTGATCTCTTATCATCTACCCCTAATCCTTTTCCTAACAGGCTAACATAAACTCCTAATACAGCTTCTTTTATATCACCTTCAATAAATCAATCAATCAAAACCTTAATCCGATAAGTGGGGTCGGCTACATGAACAAAACTTGATTATTCCGTGTGGTCATCCACTAAAATCTTCCTCCTCCAACCCTTACGATCTAAAACATCATCCTCATGCAAGTCCATATACTTCACATCATTCTAAACTCCTTCCAACCAAGTCATTTTCGGTCTCCCTCTCTCTCGTTTAACCACTCCATGGTCCCACTCTTCAGCTTTTCATACCGTTACACCCTCGGGTCTCCGTCTTACATGCCCAATCCAATGCAAACGATTTTCCTAAGTTTGTCTGCAATGCCTCACCTGCTTTCTTGTGAATAACCTCATTCTTGATTCTATCCCTTAGATTATTCCCACACATCCACCATAACATGCGCATTCCTGTGACCTCCATTTTTTTAATGTGCTCCTTCTTAGAAACCCAACATTCTGTATCATAGAGCAACATTGGTCTTATGGCAATCTTGTAAAATATTCCGTTCAACTGTAAGGGAATGCTTTGGTAACATAACACTCCTATGGCCGCTCTCCATTTAAGCCACCCCAACTTAATCCTGTGGGCCGCGTCTTGATCAATCTGGATGATCGATATAAGATACCTTAAATATTCACTATGGTCAATTCTTTTCCATCAAATCTTACCACTTCATCGCTTGTCCTCCACTGAGTACCAAACCAACATACCAAATATTAAGTCTTACTCCAACTTAGCTTAAACCCTCTAGATTCCAACCTTTCTCCAACTTGATATTAACCCCATCTTTAATTTCATCCACCAAAACGATATCATGCGCAAACAATATACACCATAGAATTTCATCTTGAATTGGTCTAGTTACTTTATCAAGAACTGTTGCAAAAATAAAAGGGCTTAATGCAGACCCTTGATGCAATCCAATCATAATAGGGAAATCTTTTTTCAGTCTTCCATATGTCCTCACATTTGTTGACACATCTCGATACATAATCTTAACCAGATCCATGTACCTTCGTGGGATACCTTTCTTCAACATTGCCCACCAAAGTACCTCTCTTAGCACCTTGTCATATGCCTTCTTCCATATCACCTAAACTCCAAAAACAAAAAAAAAAAAATTGATCGAAAAAATATGTCTAAGATTGCTGCAACGATGAAGATGACGATTGATAAGGAGAGAAATTGAAGCGGCAAAAAAGGAAGACATGAACGACAAGAAAGAGGAAGCATGTGGCGTAAGAATCTAGAAATTTATTTCATTATACGACAATGCTTGCATATCATAGTGAATCATTTGTAAGATATTATGTGTACAAGAGTCAAGAGAATAGATTTGTGAAGAAAAACTTCGAAATGTCATATATATTGATGTACATATGTAAAATTATAACATAGTTTTTGTCATCAATAATTTGATATGAAGTATTATTTAATCACCATGCAATTAGACAATTTAATTCAATGATTGGCACTTTGCTAACCATTTTTTTTTTTTTTTTGTATAAGATATTCTTTTACAAAAGCTCTTTATGTTTTGTTAAAAAAAAAAAAAAGAGAGAAACTCTTTAAGTAAGATCAAGTTTCAGTTACAAACAAAGACATTAAGAGCATGTTTGGTTAGTGTATTTTCTAGATTGGAAACGGATTTGGTTAAATCATTACCATTATCGCATGTTTGGTTAAGAGATTTGGTAATTATTACCTTTACCCTTTTATTTTTAACCTTTACCCTTTTTATTTTTTTAAGGAATCAATTACCTAAAGGTATGGTATTCCACCCACTTGTTACCACAAATACACTTACCCTCCTCAAACAAAAAGGGATTCCTTAACCAAACAAAAAGGGATTCCTTTCCATAGTCAAACAAAACAAATGAAAAGGTAAGGTAACAAATACACTTACCCTCCTCAAACAAAAAGGGATTCCTTTCCATAGTCAAACAAAACAAATGAAAAGGTAATAGTTACATGATTCCTTTCCCCCTTCTTATTTGTTTCCTTTCCACTTCTTTTCCATTGTCCTAACCAAACACCCCCTTGAAATGAAACAAAATAATAAAATGTAACAAGATGCCGAAAAACAATGGAAGTTATTCAAGTAATTTGAATGTTTTTATCATATAATAACTGTTCCACAACCCATGCATAAAACGGTCCCAAAAGATAGTTTAGATTTTGAAATTTTTAACCTCTAGATTCAATATTTTGCCAAATTGCTACTTGCAGATACACTCAGTATACACAGAAGGTTGTGGAATAGTGAAAAGTTGCATGTTGTTGAAAGCATCCATTTTGCAGCAATTGGTCAGGATAATTTTTTTGTCAGAATATTAAGTTTCCACAATTATTAAAGGCTGTTGACCTAGATCACTAGGCGGAAAGTCTTGGCAAGATAAGAGGATAATGCATGTAGTCAAGTAGGAGCAGGTTTAATTTGCAAACTATGAAAATGAGTTGTACGTGATTGTATTAGAAGAGGATTGGCGCCGGCTCAAACACGAGACTTGAAAGCAATAATTTAGGATCATAAACAAGAATATGTGGTAACAGAACCCTTTAGGGGTTAAATCCGCCTGAATTTTTTGTGTGTTATTTCACCCGCCATCCCATTATTGTTACTCTATCAATTTCCATCGAGTAGACAACTTATTATTAAAAGCAGTTCAAAGAAAAATTTAGTAGTTAGTCACAAAATCTTTCACAAACAATATCTAGCAGAACATTTCTTAGATGGTCAATATTCAAGAGGTTGCAAATGGTCCTAGTTAAAACCTGTGGTATATATTAAAATCACTATTTTCTGGTGCCTAAAAATCATCCCAAGAAACTATTTCATCATGCTTAACACTAACAAGGAGCTCACGTCGATCTCATACCCTCCAAAGTTAAACCAAGGTTCTATATCAACCCTATTCCAAACAAGAGTCCTTTTAAGTTGAAGGGAAAGAGCAATGCTATCAAGATGCCAAAGAGATTTATTAAAACTCTATTTTCATTGGTTTTTTCAGATCAAAAGCATTTTTACTTATAAATTATTAAAATTGATTTTTCGGACATTATTTAAGTTGAAGAGAATGGGGCACTACCCTGCTAGAGTTACTTGCATGTTGGAAACTCAAATAGAATTTGTGAAATTTAAATCTCTTCATAGACGACCAGAAACACAGGTGCCGCTGAGCCAATTCCCTGTTGGTGCTTCACAACTTAATGAGTACCACAAATTTTTGCAACCAAAGATCACATGGGTCACAACAACATTAATATCGCAAGTGAAGATGAGCTTCATTAATCCATACAAAGATCCAAATCAAATATTCTAGTCAAAGTTTTCATGATTTTTATTTGGTAAATAGTGAAAGTAAATTAAATATTATCATTTTCTGGCAAAGTTGCATGCGTACATTACTAAACCAGAATAATTGAATTCAACTGGAAACTTTATCCACAAACGAGCAATAAAGAGATAATTTCGAATTTGCAACAAAAAGTTCAAATTTCTTGGGTATGCTTAATTTTCCAGATGATAAGTTTAAACAGTATATGATTAGAAGACTGTAGAACTTCCAAGATGACCACATTTCAGACAGAAGAAGCCAATGTTGATTTTCAAAACATTGTTACACATTCATAACTGAAGCTTTTCTGGGAAAATACAGACCTGAATACCATAGGGCAATAATCCTTCCAGTAGAAATCCAGCGAATAATGTGGAGGCGTAAGTTGAGAACCCTTTTTGGGAAAAAACATTTTAATTCTGGCTTGTTCAGCAAAATCAGTATATCTAACTTCACGGGCAGGAATTGGTGTTATCTTGCCAACAGTATACCTGATTTTGCAAACAAAGAAATTTCTGACAATTCCATGGCACAAAAAAAAAACCAGAACATGCACATAATATGCAAGCTGGAACCAAAAAAACCAAGGACAATAGGAAAATTTTAAATAAACTAGCACTGCTAAAGTAATCATAGCAAATTGTTTCACAAAAAAAAAAAAAAAAAAAAAAAAAAAAAAAAAAAAAAAGTAATCATAGCAAATTCAACATTAAATAACACCTTTAAAATTTTAAATACATAAAAATCGATTTTTATATTTATACTCAGAAGGAACACAAGCTGATAGAATGTGTTTAAACTATTAAACAGCTTGAAAAATTCTAACTAGTCTGACCAAAGGCAATAATAAAACAGAGTTCGGTGGTAACAAAAACATTATCAGCATAGGTAAATCTTTTACATGATACCAAATAAGAGGATAAGCCCTAGCAATAAAATAAGTTGCAGGTAAAGCATGAAGAAGTTTAAAATTGATAACATCCTAATGAATATGTACCTGATACCAAGTTGTAGATTAAGCATAAAATAGTGGCTCTGGTTGCCACTGGAAATCGTGATGCAAGAACGACTTTTGGACTTTTTTGGATTGTATTTACTGCGCTTGACTTTAAAAGATTTTCCGTCATTTTTCCTTAAACGCTCTCTAAGCAAGACACCTTGCATGTATTCTCTTTCAAAGACTACATCACGTTCTTCCTGCTCATCATACTGATCATCACTAGACTTACTATTGAGTTGACAAGAGCTGTCCTTCGATGATAAGTCTGTGGGAATGTCGCCAAGAATGAAGTCTCTTTCAAAAGAAGCCCTAGATGAATTTCGACTTGAACTTTTCCTTGATTTACTACTAGAAATTCTTTCAGAAACACTGCGATTAATCCTTGGTCCTGATGTCTTATTATTCTCTTCGAAACCCAGGGATGCACTGTGAGACAGCTCACCTCTTAGACTTCCATGATAACCTGCTGATTTAAACCACTTCTTCAGAGATACATGTTTACTTCCAGCAGGATAAAATGTTCCTTTTCCGTCTTTTATCCCCCTGCTCCAAGTTCCACAATAACAACCCCCATCAGAAAAGCGGTAGAAACCTGATCCATCCCGTAACCCATCCAACCAAGAACCATAAAAAATATCACCATTCGCCCACTTTAAAAGCCCTTTTCCACACATCATCCCCGATTTCCATGTACCAATGTATGCATTTCCTGAACTCCACATATACTTACCACTTCCTTGGCGAAGGCCTTTTTTCCAAGATCCTTCATAAAAATCAGAGTTTGCGTAATTTTTCTTTCCAAACCCATCTTTCGTATTCATCCGCCACGCCCCATCATAAGCAGATCCATCAGTAGCTTTTAAAGCTCCTTGACCATGAAGATAACCACCAGAGAACTCACCCTCATATATTGATCCTGAAGGCCAACTAATACGTCCCTTCCCTGTCATTTTTCCTTCCTCCCAATCACCCTCATACGTCGTCCCATCAGACCATGTATATTTCCCCTTTCCATGAGGAACCATGCCCAAATTATCACCATTATATACATCACCATTAGGAAAAACCTTAACCCTATGTCTATGCAACATAGCAAACAAACAAAAATCAATATGACAGGACTGATCAATTGTATTAAGAAACAGCAAAGAAGGAAAGCAAGCAACAGTAGAACTGATAAAATTAGAAAAATGTTTAAGCAAAGTAACCTCTCTATGTTCTCCATAACCAGCGAACTCAATCAGCTTTTCAGACATTCATTCAGCAACCTGTAGTAGATTTTTATTTAAGAGGTCATGTAAATTCAACCTGACATCAACAAAACACATTTTTCAAAGCCAATTATACGCCAACGTACTCATAATATTTCAAGTCAACCCAAAGGCCAGATTGTGTGGAGTATAAGCATTTGAAGTAGCTAAAAACAGATAATCAACAAAAAATAATTCTCCCAATTAAACAATTCTAATTAAAATCTTTTTTTTTTATCAAACAACCATTTTTTATACAATTCCTAATACTTATAAATCAAACATCATAGTAGCTTTTTATATACGTTTTGCAATGCCAATTCTTATGTAAATCAAAAATCAGCAAAACCCAATATATGTAGTACATAACTCTTTATAATCAATTTTTTTATAACAACAATCACCCTCACCCCAAAATTATCCCCTCTTCCCCGTTTTCGAGGTTCAAAGCAAGAATTCTTTCCGATACCCAAACCATACACCATAATGCACAGCATAATCGATTATTTAGATACTTAAAACATATAATTAACAAAAAATCAATCAACCCAATTAAACCATACAAATTAGAAAAAATTAAACAACCCTTAATTATCCTCAAATCAACCAATCAAACAAAAATCTAAAACATACTCAAAAGATTTGAACAAAAAATAACTAAAATAATCAAACAAAAGAGAAAAACTTACTTAAGTACTTGAAAGATAGAAGATGAGATAAACCCCAAGTAAAAAGATTGAAACTTGTTAAAGAATCTGAAAACTTTAGTATGAATAAGTGAGATGAAATATGCTTTGCTTAAGATGAAAGAGTTTTGTCATAGCTTTATTCGTTTGTTTGTGTTTGTTGTTGTAGTTGTTTATGCAGATAATATTATGCTGCACAAACAGCAAAGATGAGAGAATCATATTATTTGATTACCTGTCTGTCACTCGTGCAATGATACAGTGTTACTGTTACGAAGTATAGGATTTTCATTTGCTTGGATCACCAATATCTGATATTCTTTTTTTTATTTTATTTTTTAAAATTTGACTGTGTAAAGTATGGTTGATTATTTAGTGCTGGCCTTTTTCAAGTATGATTAAGAAGTATCAATGTCTTACAGTTGGCATTTGATTGCAGTAATTATAATTGTCTTTTTGTGTACTTTTGATTTTCTTTCTATTTTTATTTTTTTAAGGAGTTTGTGCCTCCATTTCTAGTCTAGTGAAAAGTAGGCCGTTCAAATTGGATATGAATTGTGACATTAATATGTGACTAGACATGACAAAAGGGTCATTTGGGTCGGGTACGGGTCGGGTCAGTTTCGGATCAATTAATTTCGGGTCGGGTACGAGTCGGGTCAATTTGGGTTTCGGGTCAATGGTTATTCGGGTCGGATCGGGTATCGGATCACACTTCGGGTCGGGTTCAAGTTGGGTCATTTCGGATCGGGTCAATCTTCGGTCCAAATGTCGGGTCAATCTTCGAGTATAGTTGTCGAGTTAATTTATGGTCAGGTCATATTTGGATCGAGAAATTTGGGTCAAGGCATCAAGCTCAAATTGTCCAAATGTGGGGTCAATCTTCGAGTATTATTGACACATAGATTGTTATTAGGAAAATTTGTAATTTAATCCCAACTTTTGGCGATTTACTTTCATTAATCCCAACAATTCATTATTTTTAAATAATCCCAACTTTGGGGGGCATTTTCTTTTATCAGGCCAAAACTGGTCAACGAAAGTCAATCACCTGTTATACCAGGTTATTAGACACGTGTCAACACTTAATTTGTCCCAAAAAAATCAAAGTTTACAAAAATAAAATCAAAAAATTAAAAAAAAAAATCCTCCCTTAGAACCCCCAAGAATCCAACCACTTCATCCCACGCAGCCCCACGACCTCCTCCCTAGCACCCACCGAAAACCACCATCTCCCTCCCAAACCCCACTAAAAACCACCGAAACCCATCCGAAAACCGCCGAACCCCACCGAAAACCACCGAACCCCTTCCTATTCCCCCACGCAACCACAGAAAACCCAAGTTCAATAAGGTCAATAAGTTCCAATAAGTTCCAATAAGTCAAAACAAGATCTAATAAGTTCTAATCAAGTCTAATAATAAGATTCAATAAGTTGTAATAAGTTCAATTAGGTCTATAAGTTCAATAAGGTCTAATATATTCTGATAAGTGCAGGCCCAATAACGTGAAGAGATTACACCATATGTAAAAAGTGTAAAAGAATTTAAAGGTAACACTTACAAAAAGAAGAGTAATAGTAGTAGTAGTTGTAATAATAATAATAATAATAACAAGTTCTGATAAGTGTTTATTAGGGTAAGGTAATTAAGCCCTAAATTAGTTAATTAGGTTATTTTGAGTATTTGTTAATTTTAAATTTGGGTCATTTCGGGTATAGTTTAGGTCTCTTTGGGTCAATCGATTCTGGTTAAGATCGGGTCGGGTCAATCGATTCAAGTTAATATTGGGTCACTTCGAGTCAAGTCAATTCGGGTATCGGGTCAATTTAGGTCGGGTCAACTCAGTATCGGGTCAAGTTCGGGTTAACTCCACTTTGGGTTGGGTACGGGTCGGTCGGGTCAGCTTCGTGTTAGGGTCAATTTTAGGTTGATGTTTGATCGCGGGTAAAAGTAGGTCGTTGGGACTACTAAACCTAACCAAATTAGAAATTTATAATACCGAAACTTACACTAAACTAGTTAGTGGCAAGTAAAGGGTCGAACCCAAAAGGACTAAGTGTATTAATTTGTGCCAACTAGACTACTAGAAAAGGTCGTGAGATAGAGAGAGGTTAAACTAAACACGACTAAGAACAAACAACTAAAACTAGGGAAAATGGAATCCAATCACATCAATGTGTTAAACAACATCATACAAATAGATGAAAATGACCTCGATTAGGAGCATCAACACATTTAACTCACTCTCGCACAATTAAGCATGTTAATTATCCTACTAAACTAATTCACTCTCGTGCAACTAGCCTAGCAAAGGTATGGAAGAATTTAGGGCTCTCAACCAACTCACTCTCGCACAATTGATTGAAGGCATAATTAAGAGCATAGAATCGATTAGCTAGAAAGATTCTAGTCCATAAAAACATCACCCATACACAAAAATCAAGAAATAATTTCATACTAATCACAATCAATCATTCAATTCATTAATATAACCTCCATCCAATTCCCTAGAACAAGACCTAAGCTAACATAATGAAGAAAGACATGAAAAACAAGGTAAAATAAGAATAAAAACAAGATTAAACAAACAAACTAATTAATCTACTCAAATCAACAAATAAAAAGCAAAAACTAAGAATTAAGCAAAGAAATAAAGATGAGAGAAAGTTAGAAAATGCTCATTGAATAGATGAAAAGAAGTTCCACAAAGTTGCTTCTTCAACCTCTCAAAAACTTCAAGAAAATCCAAGCTTTCTCTCTCTACACTACTCCTAAACTAGAGAGAGAAAATAAAATAGACTAAACTAATCTAATCTATCTAAAATAAAATGTTGATTCAAAGTTATTAGAAAATAACCCCAAAGAGGGTATTTATAATACAAGTTAAAATAATATAAAAGAAATTAAAAAGAAATAAAACTAAATAAAACAATTAAAATAACTAAACTAAAAACCAAAAAAGCAAAAAAGATAAAAGAAAATAAAAAGGAAAAAGAAAATAAAAAGGGGAAAAACAAGGAAAACCCACCAAAAAAAATACTACGTAAAACAATCAGACTAATTGTTTTTTGCCCCTCTTCATTTCGCGGCTGCTCCAATTCAAACACCATCACCACGCATCATCACCACCATCAACCATCAACAACAATCATCGACGGTAATCATCAAGCATCACCCTTCACCTTCAATATCAACCGTTCGATCTCATTAATTATCATGTGCGAGGCTCGTGAAGTGGTTCGGTCGAACCATGGGTTGGTGCGGCCGAACTACGGGGTTGGTTCGGTCGAACCATGGGTGTGTTCGACCACACCTCTTCAATTTACCAAACTTTGAAAGTTTCTGACTCGTACTTCGACCGACTCTCAACGGTTTGCTCGAACCCAATTGGAATTGCATTTTGCTCGTGTGAATTGGTGATTGGAGCTGCGGGAATTTGCGATTTGTTGCTTAATTGTTGCTGGTTGTTGACGGTGGTGCAGGGGTTGATGTTGGTTTAGGTGCGTGGCTGCTCTGGTTTTGTGGATGGTGTTGTTGCGGTTTTGCGTGGCTGATTGGAGGTGGAAGATGGTAGGTGACGGTGGCTGTGGTGTTGTGGGAGCAGGGGAAGAGTGCGTGACTGCTGTTGCGGGTTGTTTGGTGGTTCAGGTGGTTTGGGTGGCTGCGTGGTGGTTGATTGGAGTTGGTGCGAGTAGGGTGAGGTGGCTGGTGGAGTCGGATTGATGGGTGGTTGATGGTGGTTTGCTGTGGCTGGTTGTTGGTGGTGGTTCAGGGTAGTGTGGCTAGGTTGTTGTTGCGGGTGGTGCTGGTTTGGTTATGATTTTGGTGGCTGGTGATAGTGGAATTTTGAGGGATGTTGCGGGGTGTTGGTGTATTGGAGTTGACTGGTGGCTGCTGTTTTGTGTGGTGAAGGGGGCAGCAGTGGTGGAGCTGGTGGTTGCTGTTGGTTGATTGGGCTGAGTTGATAGTGTTGTGTTCGTTGCTGTTAGTGTTGGTGTTGGTGTTGGTGTTGTTGGGGGAAAGCAGGGAGCAGGGCAGAATAGTGGTTGATGGTGGAGGTTGGCAGTTGGGGTTGCGTGGCAGCAGCCATGAGCCCATGACTTGGCTTGGACACATTTGACTCAAACCCGGAATTTCGAACTTGATTTGAACATGGAAATCGAGCGTCAACCCGAACACACCTACAACAAAAAATCAAACACGAGGGGAACTTTAAAAGATAAAATAAAATAAAATAAAACAAAATAAGATAAATAAAGTAAAATAAAATGCTAAAACTAAATAAATAATAAAATTAAATGAAATAACATAAAATAAAGAAAACAAACTAGAAACTACAAGAAAAATAAATAAAAAGAGAAAAACTAGGAATTAATAAAACTAAGTTAATCTAAATTAAACTAAAAACTACAAAATACTCAAATAAAAAGATAAAAGACGAGAATAAGCAAAATAATAGAAATAAAGGATAAAATGAGCTTAATTATTGAAATAAGCCGGAAAAGTATTCAATAAACACCCCTAAAAGTGACATAAAAGTCACTTATCAATGTTTTTGGGTCAATTTCGGGTCACAGGTCAGGTCATTTGGGTCGGGTCAGGATTGTCAGCTCTACATGAGACCACAATAATGACCTATATAGGCTATATTTGAGTAATGGGTGAAATTGGGATCTCATAATTTAAATCGCACTCGAATCAGTAGGTGGAAACAAAAAAAAAATTGTTACACACAGTAAACTGATGGACGATTTGATTCGAATATACGCTCAGCCGATATGATAGACAACTTATTGCTTGATTTAACAAATTTTTGTTCAGATTATACTCCAAATATTTCGCTCCTCTTCGCTCCACTCTTCTATCTCAAGATCCCATGCCCTCCTTAAATAAGGCGTTCCGGTAGGTTTCCCAGGATGCGGCATCTCTCGCCTCAAAGACGAGCCTCCCACCGCGCTCGATTTTACTGTATGGACTAAATAAGGGAGGGGCATGGTAGTTTTGATTGGCAGGTGCCAATGTCTGAGAAGTGCAAGAAAGTGGGTCACGAGACCTCAAAGCATTGGTCCGACAATATTTTCAATTATTATAAAAAGAAAGGGCATGAAAAGAGTCGGTGTTACGATTGTTATGGTTGGCCAGAAGAGACTATCGGCAGTCACAGGGGGAAACTTCGGCTGGTGTGGTTGTAATACCCTGAAAATTCCCTTCTTTTAAATTACTTTCTTACTCTAAATAAAACTCAGTTTTAGAAAATATCCAAAATATTATCACCACCATTATACTGGCTAAGGCTATTTTCAAAGTTACTTTGCGGAAGTCTAAAACTAAAAACCAGCTTTTCAAAATAAATAACTAGAGTTCACAACCTGAAAACAAGAAAAGTAAAGCATTCACAAGTTCAAAACAATATGAATATGGCCCTTTCAAAACCAACTTAAAATAAAGCGAGCATATCAATGTTAGTCCATGAATAATAAATCAACAATTCAAAATAT